CACCGCTTTTTTAGCATGTTAGAACAGTTCATAATGATCCTAACTCATTTGTTTCTGGGTGCAGGAAAAGCAACCAGAAATGGGTTTTGGCATGAGTCCAGGTTATTCAAGGAACCATCTCATCCTGATGGGACTGGCCCACCCAGTAATTTGCCAACCGGTTCTCTGCCCTAATGGCCAGTTGGGTAGGCATGCCTGGGTGGGCATGGCCAATTCACTCACATCGAGGGGGCACCTCACCTCACACAGCCTCACCTCGCTATGCCCGGCCATGCCTCATCCCTACCCTCCCAGTCATGCCTAGCTACTGGCCCTGATGCCCAGTTTGGTGAGCGGCTGGGTGACCAGGTGAGTGGCTGGGCAGCGAGGTGAGGAATGGCTGGGAGGGAAAGGGTGAGGTTGGGCCAGGAATGGGGAGGGATGCTATTCAGCCGGTTCACCAAAGGTGCACAAAAAGTTAGCTACCAGTTCTACCAAATCTGTGTGAACTGGCTGAATCCAACCACTGGGTCTACCTTACCCCACGCTAACAGAGAGGCAGACTGCAGACCTCATCCGTTATTTTTCTGGTGAGATCCAAAAGAGCTTCCTCTGCTATGGCTCCTGCCCTCTGGAATATCTTACCCCCTAGGGTGAGATTGACTCCTACCCTCCTGATGTTTCATAAGAGCTTTAAGACTTGCCTCTGCTAGATGGCTTGGGGACCCAATGGGGAAGCTTTATATTGGAAGTGGTTGACTAATTAAAACTTAACCCAACCTCTCCCCCTATCAGAGGTGGTTCGGACCGGTTCATCCAAACTGGGAGCGGAAATCATGGGTGGCCCTGCCCACCTGCCCCAGCTCTATGGCATCCCATTTAGGCCGTTTTTTCACCAAAAGCGCATGCGTCGAAGACTGAGTGCATACTCAGAGGTGGCATGTGCGAGCAAAGCGAGGGCGTGCATGCTCACATTTGTGAACCGGTAGGGAAGGTAAGTGAATACCAACCCTGCCCCCCACATGTGTCCAGCTTGTCCATTGCCATTTGGTGTTAATGATTTTATCAGCTAATGATTTTATCTGAGGGGTCCTTGGTGCTGTCTGAGCTTGCTTGTTTTCTGGCAGATGTTTCATGGCCCAAACTAGGTAACATCATTGGTGCTATTGATGAATTTTATCTATGCTGTGTTTTTGTGGGAATGTCCTTGGTTCTGAGGGGAACCTATTTTGTTTTGGCTACAAAAACCCCAGCTTTCTCTATTCCCCTCTCCTTCCTATTCCTCAGCACCATTGTGGCAGCACTGAAGCCTCCAAGATGGCCTCACTCAGGCCAGCTTCAGAGTTACTTTAGTTGGTCAAGAGGAGAAAAAAGGCAGCTGAGGAAGACTCACAAACCAGAGGGTGAAGGAACTCTTGAATGTTGAGGATTGGAAGGAAGACATATCTGCTCAAGGAGCTGATCAGAAAGACTTGAATTGTTCCTCCCTTATTGATGCAGTTCCCAGAATATCTATCTATCTATCTATCTATCTATCTATCTATCTATCTATCTATCTATCTATCTATCTATCTATCTATCTCTGTCTGTCTGTCTGTCTGTGTGTGTGCGTGTATTTTATTTGTGCTGATAAATAAATAAAGGGAGACTAGTATAGATCTATTTCAAGCTATTTAGCTCTCATCAGCTAGCCATACCCTTATTGATGAGAGCTAAATAGCTTGAAATAGATCTATANAATAAATAAATAAATAAATAAAAAAATAAAAAACACGTTGCGTTGCCAAGTTGCGGCACTATCCATTGTCCTCACTCCCAGCGACCACCTATCCCTAGCACGTCATTCCAAGGTCCGCAGCTTCCTGAAGGGAACTTCCAACTTGCGGCCCCCGGTTGTTCATTGATATCCGACCTGGGAGTTGAATGTTGTGCTTCGGGCTCTAGTCGAGGCTCCTTTTGAGCCAATTCATACCTGTGATCTGAAGCACCTAACCTTCAAGACATTATTCCTGACCGCAATCACCTCTGCACATAGGATTTCGGAGATGGCGGCCTTGTCAGTTAGGGAGGACTTGTGCGTCATACATCCAGACAGGATGTATCTCCGCTTGGATCCTTCTTTTCTTCTGAAAGTCAACTCTTGGTTTCATCGGAGCCAGGAAGTCATCCTTCCGGACTTTTGTTCTCACCCAAGACACTCTACAGAACGCATATGGCACAAGCTGGATGTGTGTCGAACCATTCGCAAATACATCAAGCGCACTGCAGCGTTCAGGCAATTGGAATTGCTTTTCATTTCCTTTCAACTTGCTACTATGGGGCGCAAAGCCACCTCCGCCACCATCAGCCGATGGTTGAGTGCTTGCATCACCCTTGCCTATCAGCTCCAGTGTAAACAGATACCACGATCTATCACAGCCCACTCTACAATGAGTGCCGCCTCCACAGCAGCCTGGCGACACAAATGCCCATAGAAGAGATGTGCAGAGCAGCTACGTGGGCTTCACCATCTCAGTTTGTCTGTGCTTACAAATTGGCCATGTTTGCGTCAGCGGAAGAAGACTTTGGAAGATGAGTCCTTCAGGATATTCATACCGCTGGAGAGACCATTGAATCAGGTTCTTCCCGCCCTAGTAACATTTAGCTTGGGTATGTCCCATGCTTGGACTCTCCAAGCAGCGTACAGGAAAATGACCATTGGCTTACCTGAAGGGTCCTTTTCTGTACGTTGCGAGGAGAGTCCAATCCCGCTCTAGGGTCTCTCTCACAGCTTCCATGTCTATATGCATTGCATTTCTTGATGTGGATTTGTGATTTTATTACCGGACTTGACTTTTACAATCTATCTTGACTTGAACTAAGATCAGACTCAGTGGAACCACATTTGAACAGTGTTACAGGTCCATGCCTTCATTGAAAAATCTGAGGAGCCAGAAGAGGAGGCGTGGCTAAAGATCTTTCAATTCAGTCCAGGGCAATCAGACAGAATTTAACCCATGCTTGGACTCTCCTCGCAGCGTACAGAAAAGGACCCTTCAGGTAAGCCAATGGTCAATTTCCACTCTTACAACTGCAGCAGCATTGCAACTTCTTCCCACTGCAATCTGGGCCCATCTGTGCAGTACTCAAAAGAAACCCAAGCCTTCTCCATGCCTGGAAGAGGATCATTGGCATGCAGAGCTCTTTCCTGCATTGCCACTTCTGAGAGACCTGGCCTTCCTCCTGTCCAACCATGGCCAGAATGCCTTAGCCAAGCCTCAATATAGGTCCACTGGGCCTTTTCCCTGTCCTACCACTCCTTCTCCCTACCCTACTATGTTTAGGTCTATTTACTTTTCCCTTTCTCAGCAGCTGCTAACAGATGTGCCAGCAAGGTGCAACTATAAAGCTAGCAAAGGCAATCTGATTTCTGTGTACAGTGGATCTAGTCATCTCAAGTCTTCCAGATGTGTGGAAGAAAAAGAAGGCACTGGGAATGGTAGGCCTATCCAGCTGAGGATTTATGATCTGTGTCAGGTTTGCATGTGTCCGTGAGTCCTGCACCTTCCAAGCCTCTGTCCTCCCCCAATCACAGAACAAATGTCCAAAATTTGGGTTTAATTATGCTCAAAGGTCAAGAACTACTAACTGAATTTTTTCAGCCTAAGCGATTTCTCATGAAAACTTAATTTATTTTAATTTGGAAAAAAAATACAAAATGGCATATATGTAATGTATAATTAATGTTTTTGATTCTTCTTTTAGTTACTCACTATTCAATGTGGTTGCTAGTGAGTTGGGCTCACTGTTGTTCATTAGTAAAATCCAACCTAGCAGATAGTGATAATTTACATGATTGGCTGAAGAAACTTACTCTTCTAATTCCGGAGGTAAGCTTTGAAAACATTTTCTAGTTTAGTAGAAGAAATGTCAAAAGTAGGTTAAATATATCTGTTGAAAGAGACATTTTAGAAGTTATGAAAAAGCCTTTGTTAGCAATAGCAATAGCAGCTAGACTTATATACCGCTTCATAGGGCTTTCAGCCCTCTCTAAGCGGTTTAGAGAGCATATTGCCCCCAACAACAATCCGGGTCCTCATTTTACCCACCTCGGAAGGATGGAAGGCTGAGTCAACCCTGAGCCGGTGAGATTTGAACAGCTGAACTGCAGAACTGAAGTAGCCTGCAGTGCTGCATTTAACCACTGCGCCACCTCGGCTTTGTTGCTTTATATGGCTTTAGTAGTAGTTTAAATATTGTGTTTAGTTTCCCTAACTCGTTTTTTTTTTAAATGAATAGTTCAATTGTATTCATATTTATACAAAAGCAATGCATAAGATTTCAGCCAAAGTCCTCGTGATCTATCTAGATAGAAAATAGCTGTCTCCTTCAATATTTATAATATCATTTGTAATTTCCCACTATTAATTCTTTGGTGGGTTTGGTTTTGTTTTTTTAGTTTCCAAAGTGTTCTACATCTTGTTTATAGTAAATTAAAATTCTTGGTACAAATGCTTAGTTCATAATATTGATAGCAAATAGGCATATTGAAAGTAGTTTATAAATCTAAAAATAAGGAAAATAAGAAAAAATGTTTTTATTTGAATTGTTTCCATTTAATTGTAATTCTTTATTTCAATTTCAGACTGCAGTTCGCCATGAATCTTGTAATGGTCTTTATAAATTATCACTGTCAGGGTTGGATGGTGGAGACTCCATAAATAGGTCTTTCCTGCTGCTAGCTGCCTCAACACTGCTTAAATTTCTTCCTGATGCCCAGGCACTGAAACCTATTAAGGTAAAATAAAAAATGTTACATATTTTATTTATGTGAAATTATATTGTATAGTAAATTATCAAAAAACAACTTCCTCCGAGTGAAATTGTTATATAGTTCTTACATCTACAGAACAACTTATATTAGAAGGATAGGCAAACAATTTATAGTTAACGAATACAATTTTTTGTTTGTCTACTTCTCCAATTCCCAGTGTTTTACATCAACAATATTACATCATCAATTGGTGATTCCCCCTCCCTCCTTTTCCATAGTATTTGTTAAATAATTAGTATAAACATCTGTCACGGATACAATACCAGGATGACTCTGCTTTGCCTTTCCTATGTGCTAGAACACCTGTCTCAGCCATTGTACCAGTAGGGCACATACCGGGTAGAGAGCAATGTTCCCTCTAACTTTTTTTCAGTATAGTGTTTGAGCGGCACATTTTCATGCCTCTGAGAACCTGAATTTTTTTCACAGATGTCACCCAAGACAACAACGAAATCAGTGTTATATCAAATCAAACTAATAAAATTTGAAAATAAATAAAATTGTAAACAAATAAATTTAGAAATATTTGTTCAAAAGCAAACTCACTACAGTTATCTTTCTTTCAAATTCATTTTGGATTAAATAAAAAAGAGCTTTGATATGAATATATAAATGGCATTTAATACTGGTAATATTAAAAT